TCTGGTTTGGCACTCTAGGCTGACCACGCCCACTGGCTTTTCGCGGAATTTCGATGTTTTTTCAAAATTTTTGCATTTTAGAGGTTGCTGCGTGAAGCCCCCCCACCCACTGTGAGATGCTCCGCCCACTTTGAATAAGCCCCGCCCACTTTTCAAAAATGATGCAAATCGGCAGTGTAGAGACTTGGCTTGCATGTTAGGGATTCGGAATAAACTTTGCCGATTTTCTTGTTCCGAGTGACGTACGAGACCCTAACATGCAAGCCAAGTCTCTATACTGCCGATCTGCACCATTTTTGAAAAGTGGGCGGGGCTTATTCAAAGTGGGCGGAGCTATCACACAGTGGGCGGGGCTTCACGCAGCAACCCTAAAATGCAAAAATTAAAAAACATCGAAATTCCGCGAAAAGCCAGTGGGCGTGGTCAGCCTAGAGTGCCAAACCCTTTGAAGAATGGGCGGAGTCGGCCATGTGTGAATGCACGGTGGTTTCCAGTCAAAGTGTTTGTGGGAAACAGCAAAAGCAGAAGTTATGAAACAAGATTTGAGAATCTATGTCCGCGCTGACAAGTGGGCGTGGCCGTCGGGGCGGGGCTCGCAGTGATGTCTGGCGTGATCTGGTTGATGAGTTGCCCGCCCTAATAAGTGTGGTTAACTTGATGAAAAGTGAGGGTGAATTTGGTTTGAAAAGGGGTGAATTTGGTTTGAAAAAGGACGAATTTGGTTTGAAAAAGGACGAATTTGGTTTGAAAAAGGGTGAATTTGAAGTGAAAATTTTATAAATACGACCCTCCTTTAGGGAAAGACGTATAGATTTGGTCGTTATCGATGTGACCGCCATGGCGACATAAGAGGGCAACATCATTGAAAGCAACAGCTGAGCCTACAACAGAGACAGCATACAGAAACACCTACCCAATTTGGTTTATAACGGCTCCGTACAGCTCGGGACGTTGCTGCGAAGAAGCTGCGACCAGTAATCCACCATTTGAACCACCCTGGATAGCCAGCCTGGAACACGTACATAACTGATGGGTGAAAATTAGCTCCTTCAGGTTATGGCTGTAGACCATTTAGCGCTGAGCACCTCACTTCACGAAATTCGTAATCCGCGCTAGAGTTCAACCTTACTTCTTTTGTCGAACATCGTATCATATTTATCTACTTAGCATGAGAGTTCCTGGAGCGACAACAACGCGTGGTTGAGCGTGGTTTTCGTACTCAGGTTGTCGAAAAACCACCGCTGACCAATCTCTCGGACAATTTACACGAGAAATTGATAAAACATTTTGGCCTTCGGCGTCGGTACCATGTGTGCAGTGCCCCAGATTATGATATAATGGCTTGCTTTTGAGAACAGTTCAATAATATTTCAACACAATACTGGATTACTCTTACCTTTTACTATTCGTGTAGTTGTTCCTAATCAAATATTCGGCTGCTGCAATGAAATCATCAAAAACGTTCTGCTTTTTCTCTCTCATTCCTGCTCCGATGCCAACTTTCGCCGTATTCGCTGAATATCGTTAGAATGAAATATCGGGATTAGAAACAATGAAGAACCTATCGAGCCACCGTTCCTCTCGACTGCTAGATGCGCTAACTGTAGTAATGGGAGAACTATCTGCAGCCTTATTCGCCACGGATGCTGGGGGTGTCATTGGGTTGAGCTTAGTCAAATGCCCATCAATTCTTGGAAAGAGCAAGCGAAAGTAGTTGGTGGAAAACGAGCTGAGGCTGCGCCACAAGTATTCAAACTCGAATTCAGTCAACAAGATCACCCCATTTATTATTGACCAATCAGTCAGATCACCTCAAATATAAGGACTGAAGAACGAAGAAGCATCTTCGTCAGGTGTGGTATACTTGGGAAGAAAATGAAATCGTGCCATCCTGGGAGTTCACGAGGATTGCATTATTTATTATATTTTCTGTGGTTTGTTGTAGCACTGGGTCACACCAACAGTAGTGCCAGTTCACAGGGTTTCACAAATGATTTGGCGATGACGACACGACAGATTCTATTCGACATATCACATTCGTGCGAAAGCCATGTCAAAAATGTCTTGCGGAACTCCTAGAGCAAAGGAGTTTCGTTGACGACCTCTCAGCCCTACACAGTTATCGCCGACAGTACATAACCATTTCTGTAATTCGGCTCTGACAATTAAAGGCAGCGCCCGTTGCGTTCACATTTGATGAGTATGCCTGGCCAGGTGAGTAATATATCAAAGGGTAGGCAAGAATACGCTAATTAGTGAAGATAAAATTTCAAAAAATAGAAACATGCAAATAATATCCTATATCAAGCAAGTTTTCATAACCGAACTACGGTTGTATCATACGCGTCCCTGCAAGGCGAAAGCAGTAAGGTGCGTCTCTCAAGCGTAGAGAAGGTGCGGTCAAACGAGTTTTCGCTTGTTGATATAGCTGTTTTCCCATCACCTTACTCTCACCACACGACGTGGAGAGAAGAACAGCAATGGAACAACCGCACCATCAGGCAACCATTAAAAATGAAGTTGGGCGTCGTGGTCGCCAGGTGGGCGGGGCGGTCGACTCTTTACTAGCGATAGGCGCTATCGCCTTTGTGAGATGCAAAACTAGTACATACTGCATCCTTATGGGGAGGGCTATGATATCCAGAAAGGGCGTAGGAACATCAAGTGAACGTGGGCGCTGCCTTCAAATGCTGTAGACTGTCATTCTTAGCTGTCCCAATGATACGACCCTGAAGCCTCATTTTCCGTTGAAACAAGATGTAGGAACTTATTGAGTACTGCAAACATCAGACTTTTTTTTCGGCACTGGTGTTAGCTTCGCTCCCCCATCATTTTTATTGGACTGCAGCTTCTAAATTACACCAAGACAACATATCAACGCGCAGGGACTCTCTCTCAGCCAGTTGATGACGCTACTTGAGGAGTGAATCGACTGTAACATTTGCAGGTAGTCTGACAGATGTTCTGCGCCGACCAGGGCTTAGCTCTAGCGCACACCTACCCACCCTGACCATTGCCCTCATGTCCTAGCGCCCACTGTGGGACGGTAGTAATCTACCTAAATCTCGCAATCAAATGTGATGAGTTGCTCGCGGTTATGCAGAACAACGAGCGATGTATGAGCGAGGCAACCACGCTGGAAACAACGAGCTTCGCTAGGCTATTTGCAAAACTTCGCTCAGCGGTCGGTATCGATCTCGCTCACCATGCAAGTGGTAGCGCGCATGATTGTCGCTAAGCTCTCACTGCTATGCTGACTCGGCGGCGGTTCCTGGTAACAAGCAATTCCAAAGTACTTGATCTACATAGTTATAAGGAGAAATTTTGATTTTTTTCTAATTTTTCCTCCTCAAATCCGTCCTAGTCGAAGCGGGGAACCGGCTTTATGTATTCATATTCTAATAGCACATACTTAAATAACATTTTTTCGCTGCTCACCCATTATAACCGTTTTATTAGAAAATATGTCACATTTTCAAAGCTTGGGAATTGCACGCTATCCCACCAAACGCCTTGTCCCCTCTAGCATTTCTGACGTCATCTCAGGATTATGCAAAAATACCCAAAAGTTGAAAAATAAGCTCACCGTGTTCCACCACAACAGGTTAGTAGTTAGTACGTTAGTAAATGAATAAGCGAATGAGTGTTACTCTCCTTTATCAGGACGCACGTGTTCGCTTATCATGTATGCAATTCGCAATGTTCCATGAACGGTAGTAGATCATTCGTAATGGATACACACTCGTTTCGGTTGTTCATGCTTGGATTTCGTGCTGAAATCCAAAAGGCTTCCAGCGCTTTCCTAGCTGAAATCTCTGTCTCATAGGCCAAAATCGTGCACTTGATGTTGAAATCTTCGCCATCATGCTGCTCTATTCTATGCCTCCCCAACGGTGTTGACACGTTATTGCGCCTTTTATAGATGTTCCTTGATACGGACTGATAAGACCCTTCCCGTTTCTTCCTATGTATGTTGAATTACATGTCCTGCATTCAATCTGATAAATGACGCCCGCTGAGGCACAATCGCCAATCTTGCCATTAGGACATGTAACACAATTCTCTGACAGGCACTGCTTATCGTAAAGCCTGTTCCTCACAAGTTGACGTTTGATGTTGTCATTTGGAACGTTGACCAGGACAACATCATCGCACAATTGTGCTCGAACAATGCATCGTTGGATGGCAGCAGATACCTTGTCAGAGATAAATGGCACACATAGAGGAAGCTTATTTTGGCGCGAAGTGTAGTTGCTGCCAACGCGAGACCTCCTATTGTGATGTTGTACCGTGTAGCCATTCGAGAATGCTATTCGAGAAGCTAGTTGTAGTGACTCTTCCCGTTCGGCTGCACTGCTGCACATACTCGTTGCCGTTTTGTACATATTCCTAATAACGGCACGTTTCACAGCAGAAGGGTGTGCAGACGTAGCATGGACGAGAATGTTCTTCGAGCTACTTTTCCGATACCACTTCACAGTGATCATGCCGCTGGACACTTTGAGCTGCGTGTTAAGATAGGGAAGCCAACCGTCCCTTATAAGCTCGGTAAGCTTGATGTACGATGACTGCTCATTCATTATGCGGAAACACTCGTCCATTTCGGACTGTGTTGATGTCACTATGTAGCAGTCATCTATATATCTGCAGTACATCAGCGGTAAGCGCTCCAGTACCGCCTGTTCAATTCTGCTCATGAAGCAGATTGCAAGTACTGGCGCTAATCGTTGCCCCATAGCCAGACCCTGATTTGAGAGTAGAAAGTACCTGACCACCTGAAGATGTTACAACCCAAACATTCCTTGACGAGAGTCATTATGCACACTTTACCAAGTCTAAAAGTCTCGATGTTCCCACCATGTCTATCCAACATTTCGGATAGCGCTTGCAAAGCCTGTTCATTTCGGACATTGGTACATAGTGCATAACGACTTTCGTCAAGGAATGTTTGGGTTGTAACATCTTCAGGTGGTCAGGTACTTTCTACTCTTAAATCAGGGTCTGGCTATGGGGCAACGATTAGCGCCAGTACTTGCAATCTGCTTCATGAGCAGAATTGAACAGCCGGTACTGGAGCGCTTACCGTGATGTACTGCAGATATATAGATGACTGCTACATAGTAACATCAACACAGTCCGAAATGGACGAGTGTTTCCGCATAATGAATGAGCAGTCACCGTACATCAAGCTTACACGAGAAACCCAAGGGACGGTTGGCTTCCCTATCTTAACACGCAGCTCAAAGTGTCCAGCGGCATGATCACTGTGAAGTGGTATCGGAAAAGTAGCTCGAAGAACATTCTCGTCCATGCTACGTCTGCACACCCTTCTGCTGTGAAACGTGCCGTTATTAGGAATATGTACAAAACGGCAACGAGTATGTGCAGCAGTGCAGCCGAACGGGAAGAGTCACTACAACTAGCTTCTCGAATAGCATTCTCGAATGGCTACACGGTACAACATCACAATAGGAGGTCTCGCGTTGGCAGCAACTACACTTCGCGCCAAAATAAGCTTCCTCTATGTGTGCCATTTATCTCTGACAAGGTATCTGCTGCCATCCAACGATGCATTGTTCGAGCACAATTGTGCGATGATGTTGTCCTGGTCAACGTTCCAAATGACAACATCAAACGTCAACTTGTGAGGAACAGGCTTTACGATAAGCAGTGCCTGTCAGAGAATGTGTTACATGTCCTAATGGCAAGATTGGCGATTGTGCCTCAGCGGGCGTCATTTATCAGATTGAATGCAGGACATGTAATTCAACATACATAGGAGAAACGGGAAGGGTCTTATCAGTCCGTATCAAGGAACATCTATCTGGTAAAAGGCGCAATAACGTGTCAACACCGTTGGGGAGGCATAGAATAGAGCAGCATGATGGCGAAGATTTCAACATCAAGTGCACGATTTTGGCCTATGAGACAGAGATTTCAGCTAGGAAAGCGCTGGAAGCCTTTTGGATTTCAGCACGAAATCCGAGCATGAACAACCGAAACGAGTGTGTATCCATTACGAATGATCTACTACCGTTTATGGAACATTGCGAATTGCATACATGATAAGCGAACACGTGCGTCCTGATAAAGGAGAGTAACACTCATTCGCTTATTCATTTACTAACGTACTAACTACTAACCTGTTGTGGTGGAACACGGTGAGCTTATTTTTCAACTTTTGGGTATTTTTGCATAATCCTGAGATGACGTCAGAAATGCTAGAGGGGACAAGGCGTTTGGTGGGATAGCGTGCAATTCTCAAGCTTTGAGCCATGTTTAGGCCTTTGACGACGACGAACAGGTCGAAACGTTGGCCGAATAAAGAGTTGCCACCTACAAACCTCGTTGGCGAAAACAGAAGAACAAAACATCGTTGACAATGCCGAGGTTTCAAGATTAGAGAAGTTGGAATCGACTTTTTCCAAAATTTCTCTTCAACTATGCAATAGGATGGCCACGCCCTCCTCATATCACGATTCACATTCCCCGGGCCATCAACCCTACCACTTACTTTTGTCCTCCCCGCTATACCTAGACCTGTGATCTAAGCATTTCTGGACTTGGAAAGCTGTTGAAGAACCCCCAACTCGCACCACAGAGATGGCCATCTTTGAAAAGTCCTCTGGAGGACTTTTCACTGCATAGAACGGCGACTATCTGCGTCTCTCCGTTTCGCGTCATCTCTCCCACTCTCTCCACCCTCGCGGTTGAGAACTCAAGTGCGACCTTATGACGTCGCACTTCAACGGAGGAGAGCAATCAGGTCGTTGTAACGACCACCTAACCTCGAACTTTCTCATCAAAGTCCCTGGAATAGGCACTTTGGGCAGTCGGGAAGCACTCAATAACATATGTGGCAATTGATCTTTCTCGAGCTGACCGCGAGCTGATGGTTACCTGTAAATACCAGTTTACCAGTCACATTACTACTGTCCCTGACCATTGCCCTCATGTCCGGAATAGAGGAGCCTGTTTTGAAACGCCACCCCATGCTATATTGCCGTTCCATCGATCATTGCATGGCGGTTCGCTCTACGCATTAAGAGAGGTGGCATTAAGGTGGCATGCCTTCGACAAAGTGGTGCAGGAAGCCCACCAGCAGAACATCATCGTCTTTTGCCGATCCCACTATCTCTAGATTGAATGCGCTGTTGTTAGGAACATGTTCCGAACAGCAACACATGTCTGTTCGGGAGATGAAGTGCGGAGGAGCTCCCTGAAGCTGACAACTCGCTGTTCGAAACGGCTGTGAGACATCTTCGACCTTGCACCAAACCTGAATGGGCTGGGCAAACAGCAACGCGATGGCAGCTCGATAAGTGTCCAAACACTTCTGTGTTGCCCTTCATCTGGGAGCGCTTCTGTTCTTTCTGTGTCAGAGGATGTCGGGTTCGGGTGACATAATGCCTTTGGTTGCACCACCCAATAACTTAAAGCTCAGCCTAGTGCGAAATGGGTTGTAGTGTGTAGGTTTCCGCACAAAAAACTAGAACACACAGGCACTATTCCATCTGGTTCATTTTTTGGAGATTTTGAATACAGATCGTCGACCCAAAAAAACGGGATGGAGGAGTGCCTGAAAATATCTCACCAGATGCATAGACACCTTCAGGTTAAGTTGAAGCATGCGGTCACGCCTACCCGATCTCAGGGATTTCGAGTATACCTTCTGTGCATCTCTGGTGAAAACGGCTCCGTGGAACAACTAGCCCGTGAGCGTATGCGGCACAGTTTTCGTCAGCGCAGCGGCAGGGCGTAGCGAAGGGCGATGGCCTGCGTATCCGCCAGAGAGTGAGCAGGGTCTACCATCAGAGCGAATCACTCAGACAATGGCTAAAGTGGAGAATTAGCCCCCCCCTCCAATTGGAAAAGTGACGCAAACAGCTCTTACCGCAAACGATGTGATGCTATAAAGTCATAACCCTGTTGACAAATTGCCAAACCTTCGTCACCCTCACATTATAACGTTTGCGTAAGAGCAGTTCGCTCCATTTTCGCAACTGAGACTATGCTCACTACTACCATGCCACTCTGCTCACACTACCACTAACTCACCTATTAGCACCCTTTATCTGTTCTGTTTTTGTCCCTCTTTTCCCCTATGTCTCCTTCCACATAGAAGCGGCTGCCGATTGGAGCACAGCGGCGGAGGCGCAGCCCATCGTCCCTGCTCCGCCCACAGCCGTGGTGTCTTCAAAGAACAGCGCCGCGTACGCGCATGGCTGAGTTCTTCCCTCGTCCAGGTAGAAATTCACTATTAATCACTGATATGCGTTACAGGAGCCTCTGGTTCCATGCCCGGAACTCTCTCGCGATTGTTGGAAGTTAGGCATCTGTCAGAGATAGCCATGTTCATCAAGTTTGAGGCACTATCCCAGGAGTCAAAGAAACTGCGTTTTGGCTTTTGGGTGCATCGTCATCATGCAGAAGAGATGAGAAATGGCCCTCAAAGTTCACTCAGATTGAAATTGCAGCGATCTGATCATGAGTAATGCATGCAATAAATGCTAGAGTATAAATCGTAACATGAGCAAGACTTATGGAAACATAAGCGAAATTAATTATTTACCCTCCGCCACGAAGATTAGCCCATGCAATGTAACCATTGAAGTGCCTCACAAAGAAAAGTTGATCAAGGGAAAGTCCCGGCATCATAGAGGTACCGAACCCTGTAAAAATTCGCTAAATTTCCAGGCAAAGTTTCGGTACGGGGATTGCTGACCTCCATAGCCATACAGTATTGTTGGGCTATCACCGTTCCTCGGCGCTGCTTTCAATGAAATGATGTACATGGGGATCTACAATGCCTGACAATTGAAGGTTCTTATGCGGGACTGCAATTGCTCAACAAACCTTAGTTTTGTCCTTACTCTCGTAAAATACTTGCCGCACCGCGAAATCTCCTTCATCCATTCCAGGTACACGAACTCGTCGTAATTCCTGTAAAGATGCCATACAGTATGACAATACCAACACAGCCATGAGGAATCAATCATACAAGCTCGAATTTAGATAGAGGCTCGATCGTCGCTACTGCGGGACAAGTGTTACACTCGCATCCCCCATCCACAATCCACAGTACCGAGCTTTACGTCACCAAGACATAAGAACACTGACATAAAGACACACAGTACGATCACACATAGTTGGGTGTGTGTGTGACTATCAGCCCGCCAGCTGTCGAAGCGTAGCGGTTTCCCGGTTCGACATGCCGTTTTTATTTTCATGTTTTGTGGGAATGCGCGGCCTCTGAGGGATATTGCAGAAGCAGCACAGTTGCTCTTGAGTTCTGGCCCTCGTCATCATCTTCGGTTCTTATTTTGCAGCACCTAAATGTTATCCGCATCAGGAAATTGCGTTTTACTTGTATTCCAAAGCGCAATTACAGGACTTGGCAAAGTGCCAAGAGAGCCGCACGCGACACGCGCGCTTACGACGGATGTTAGCATGAACGGGAATCTGCGCCGCAAAAGGTATTGGCGGAGCATGGAGGAATTAGCGTGTTTCACGGTCCTGTATCTCCATTCCTGCGCATGTTAGGACGGGGAAACCGCTACGCTTCGACAGCTGGGGGGCTGATAGTCACGCACACCCAAACTATGTGTGATCGTACCATGTGTCTTTAAAGACACATTCCGCGCTTGCATGAGAAGTGGGGTTCTTTCCGTGCAGGAGCGCACGTTCTTGAACGTAAAAGGGTGCGTCACTACCGCAGCACGGATCTGTGCTGAGGACGCTATGAGCTCATGATTGTTGGCAATGCCGCTCACTGAGGCCCATGAACAAGCTGCTGCTGTCCTTGTATATGCGCAAGTGTGACTTCCAGCCACGCTTCCCTGGGCTTATGCGGAGCATCTCTATTCGCTGCTTATCCGTTGCTGAAAACCAGTCGGGCCTCACTTGTGCCCGCTTTCGATGGTTTACTCTGCTTTTCGCTTGCGAAGAAAGTCATTCAATGCTCATGAATTCATATGCGGACACAAATATTTGGTATGCCATGCGGCTGCCCTCCCTCGCTCAACTTTAGGGCCGAGTACCCATGATCTCAGTGACCCCCGGTTCTACGAAAATCGAATGTATGATGCACTCTAGAAGTGAGGCCTCATACTACTCATCTTCCCTCGCGACTTGCTTGTCAGCTAAGAGTAACGCTGACCTGTAACTCTGGTGCGACGTCCCTGTCAGTGGCTGCAAAATCCAGACGGTAGACGATGGTGGGGACCAAGAAAGATTCGAAACAGAGAAACATTTCAGCGTGTCCTTTCTTTGCGAAAAACCCGGAAATTTCCCTGCAACGGGGGTATTTTGAGAACCACAATAACTTGGGGAAGGTGCTCAACAAGGACAAGAAGAGATCCCTCACCCCATTTTCAGTGGGATCGAATATAATCGTGAACCCGTGTTGAGGTCATGCACATATAACGCATGCTGGAACAAGAAAAGCATCAATACAACGGAAAAACCACTGCTTAAATGCACGCACCTTGACATCTTCAATATAAGAGACAACAAGGCGATCGTTAGCAACTGGTCTAGCCCAATCCAACTTGTGACGAGGATTTTCAGGTATGACTTCTTTAATTGATTTATCTTTCAATGAGATTCTAATTAACTTGAACATTGGAGCATCGTGATCGGTGAGGATCAGCATAGAATCGTTGTCGTGATCAACGTACTGAAAATTGTGTTCATTTTCAGACAGAGGGGCAGATACAAACTCAATAACCTAATATGCACTACCAATGTCTGGTGAGTTCTGAAATCGTTTTACAGATCTTTGGCTCCGCCCACCTCGCCTATAATCCCACATCATGCTCATATGGAGCACGCAGCCACGCCCACCGTGCCGCACGGATACAGATTGATTGACAAGTTTGCTAGTGGCTTCAAAGCAGACTCTGTACTCATAAAATCTGCCCATTGAGTTTCCCTTCACCCAGTTCCTGTGGTAGCTTTCGCAGCACAGAATGTAGCATTGAACAGTAACTTAATGGAAAAAACAACTCTTAAACCTGGTATAGCGCGTCCAACTTATCGAATAGAGGTGTGGGGTGGATTCTCCCAATAGGACCCTTCATTGAAGATAAGTCGTAATAATAAAGCATATTAGATGATGCCTGAGAAACGTCGATAATGAGGAAGCGGCCGTCTTCCGTCACTGTTCCTGCACTGCAAATTGGTTGTTAATTCTGCTGAAAATTACAAAGCTTGCAAAAGATTAGTAACACACATGAGGAGGTTACTGTCATTCTTACGATCGTAGACAAGAACATCGTCCTTATAGTCAGTGCCCATACGATGGAAATAAAGTGAATGATTTTCGTCTTTTTCCACTGACTTGCCATCGAAACTTGACTAAACAGATATACTCTGAATGTGCTGCAAACATTTCCAATGGTGTAGTTCTGACCATGTGCTTCATTTGAACACAGCGGGGGCAGCGGATTTCGTCACATCTTTTTATTTTGGGACAACTGCTCACTGCCTTTCTTTGACACAAGACAAGATAGCTGTTGTTTCGAGTTGGAATATTTTATGAATTACCTTATTCTACGCCATGTTCAAACGAAGTACGCAGTTACGGCGAGAGTGTCCCAGAGATGTGGGCCGTAGATGTATCCGAAGCAAGACAAATGCACCTTATGATCGGGAAATTTGGAGTAGAATATTCCTGATTTGTCTTTCATCCATGCGAGAGCACTACTTTTCACTCCTGTGATAGTGTCCTCGAGATCTTTCTTGTCTACACTACGGAACTGAAATTTTACACTTCAGCCGATTAATCTTCTGGATCGAGGTGAACAGTCTTGACAATATTTATCTTTTACTTCCCCAGAATTCGAGGCATTGATCTGGTTTTCTACTCTCTATGGATATCAGAAAAAAACTTCTAAAGAACCAACGGCAACAACTCAAAAATTGGTGCAGGAAGTTACGCGCCACCGGGGGCTCATAATGCCGTCATCAGAGGTAAACCCTATCGATGCGAGATGTGCAGGTCCGTGGAAAGCATGCCGCTCTCGCACTTCTATGTGCGCTGCAATGATGCCTAAGAATTCTGACAGCCTTAGTGTTACTCATATGTACCCCCCCCCCTCCCCAACCCCTCCGCCATTAATGTCCATTTTACACCCAACTGTCACCTCATAAGCCACACGACCAAGCACACATCTGAGCCATAGGACAACTGACTGCACTAGGCACTGGCCATGTTGAATCCTTCTGACGTGCGAGCTACCTACCAAATTTTGGGAGAATAAATTAGTAATATCAAGTTACCAAAAACCTTCAGTGACGTGTATTTTGAAGTGGCGCCAAGGCATTTGGCACCGTGACTTCGAATGCAAACAAACTCGACATTTGCGCATTCGCAGCATCTGGAAGTCGAAGCTCATTCACCGCAAACCTAGACGCCCGAACTCGTATGCAAAGGAGGAAGAGTGGAAAGTTTAGCAGTCAAGTAAAAAAGCCAACAAAGCTCAGCGGGATACGTTCAACACTCCACACATGTCTCTGGCAATCGGGAAATCGACAGCAAAGTAAAATGTTCCTTTGAATGAAGAAAACTCTGGACCAAAGTTCTGAAAACAAACTGGTCACTCCTTCCCGAGGATACTGGTCCTTGCCATACGCGAGGTGAATGGGTCCACTACTGCAGTAGCGTGCTACTTGCTCCTATCAGAGGCGCACTGAAACGAGCTGAACGGTAGTACCCGAGTAGAGTCTCCCGACTTCGCCTCTGCTGCCGCACGACCGGTCACACTCCTAAGCATAGCCAAACGTGCTTCTTGTCTTCACCATCTCCAGTCTGGGGGTCCTGACCCCTGAACGGGTGTTCGCGCATTATCTGTATGGAGCCTTGAGGATATCGCGGACGGAACACCATCCTTTCTAGCTCGTTTCGGCGCTCTCTGAAGTGATGAACCGTTCGTCTCGAATCAGATGTGGAACAGATGATGAACATACCTTAACAGTCGTCCAATCGCTACCGTTTTCGCTCAAAGCGTACGCGAGGAGCGAACCATCGTTTGTCCATTCCAAGTCACTAAATGATCAATAAAAACTGGGAATTTTTGCGATAAGGGTACAACATCGGGATCTGTGGAATGGGAAAGTGCGTACAACTTTTCAAGGGGAGGATCTCGGTACGTCCCTTCGCACGATCTACCATCAGCTTAACATATTCGCTTCCTATCCTAGCTTCCCCAGAGTTAGTTCTGACTTCTGCAATGCAACCAATGTACACTCGAAATCCCTGAGATGAGGTAGGCGTGGCTGCGTACTTCAACTAAACGTCGTGGTGGCTGTGCTCTTGGAAAGACATTTTCATTTTGACCCAAATGTGGTCACGTCTTTTTCCAACAAAGAACAAGATGGCGGTTGTCTGAAATTTAAATATCCCACGAGTAACCAGTTCCGTGCCATGTTCGAATGCCACGCCTACCCCGTCTCACGGATAAAGAGTATATGTACATACGTACCGTTCATATTTTCAATTGCGCTTGGTGCATAGTATTGGGTTAGCCGTAAGTGATGGCGCTTTCTCCTAACTTATGTAGAGTTTACGTTGAAAACAAGTAGTTTCACCACTGTAAAAATGTGGTTATACCACTATATTCTAAACACTGGCCATATTCCGTCAGTACATCGCTGAGGACTTTACAATGACGATTCTTCACGCGAGCTGGGATCCATCCTCTCTTTCCACTCTTGAAATACTCGTGGCCAAACAGTTTCTTCCGCCCAACACGACCTCGCTGGCATTCTGTGATGGGCCTGGCTGCTTCGCCGTGTTGCAGCGCCAGGATCTCCTCATCTGATGTCCATGGAATAACTCTGCTGAAAAAACCTGTGCGAAGTCGAAGTACTCAGCGCCTCCGGATAACACTTCGAAAATTCCATTAGTGCTTCCGAACCTTCCTCCCTCTATCGCTTTAAGTGGAGCTCCATTCGAAGTTTCGACAAAAGGCTCTGCATGGCCTCAGATTACCTTACCTAGATTACCTTGACCAGACTTGCCCTCGCAAGTTCCACTATTCGCGCAAGTCGACTTCGAGCCATCTGTTCCGGTCCTAAGCTGGTCTTCCCAACTGGGCGAACATTTTCACTGACGGATGGGCACCATCATTCATTCATCTCATCTCATTTTCGGCCTTCCGTTGGGTCATGTCTGGTCGAGTGGGATCGAAGACGTAAGCCGAGAGGTCCATCTACTGCCCTTCTTCAGCAGCATGACCGGATGACCATTCTCGTTTTCTTTTATATGTATAGATCCTGTTCTAAATGATTCATTTACCTTGGACTACGTAATTTCACTCCACTGAGCTTAACTTCTGTGCTCGGTATGTGATCTCGTTGTAGCACTTTACAGATTTTGCGCATTCTTGATCTTTGTGCTGAAGCTTCTACTCGTTAGCCTTAGTAGTCGACCAATATTCTGCGCCTGAAAACCTCGAGAGGCACAGCAACGAATCATATAGGTTTTAGTTTGCCTCGACCCTGGCAGCATGTCCGCGTAGCAATGGAAGACACGTCAGTGATTACAAACTAAACCCAAGAAAATGAGCAGTTTGGAGATGCACTGAAATTCCGAAAACTTAGGATAGAAACTGAATCCATGTACCCGACAGTTCCTTATTTCTGTATTGAAAACCCTTCAAAAAACGAATAGAAACAAGCTTACGCGAGAGCGATGGTCCCATCCGGTGAGAGCGTATTTGGATCCAAGAATACCTCACCTTTCTCAGTCACATTCTTCTGTTGGTAAAGCACGCTGAACCATACCAAACACTACTCATTCATTATTCATAAAAGCTTTATCAAAATGTGAGTGGATCTTTTAAATCTTACGATTGATTTTGAAGCCCAGTATTATATTGGTAGTAGTAGAAATCTCCATGTTTTGATGGACAGCTGTATTTCTCATAATTCCATAATTCGGTAAGTCTGCAGTAACAGTTGTTATAGCAGGAGTAACCGCGTCTTAATTCAATACAGCAATCGGCAAACCCTACCAACCGTTTTCTGATCTTCTCGCGACTTGGAGCTTTGGCTAGGAACGATTCCGAGATCGCATTAAGCTGATCGACAAAGTGACGCGTCTCTTCAGCGTCAGGATCCTCCATCCAGCGGTATGGATCAGGGACCTGTGTAACGGTTGTAGCTAGCTTTTAATTTCCTCAATTTGCGTACCATCAGGAACGCACAAAAGGAAAACTTGAAAGGAACTAATACAGGAAATGTATAGGTGCAAAAGTTATTGAAAACACACTATGCACTTACCTTAGTGTACGGTCCATGCGAGATGAACGGGTCCACAGCTGCCAACGCGCCAATTTCTTCCGCTCAAAAGTGCACGTGAATCGGGCTTAGGGAAGACGAAAACGTCAAAGTGGTAGGGAATCGAGTGGCTTTTGTATACTTCGCCACGCGAATAACCAGAAGTGAGTGGGCGCAGGAAAATAGGAAGTTTGGTTATAGTTCAATTATGTCACTACTCTGCAGCCCTTTCCCTTGCACTCTTGGCTGAAGTATGTAGGTGGCGCGCTACTGCAGCTGGGCTCCCATGAACACCACAACTGCAAGCACCAGGATCCAGGGCACATCATTACTCGGGAATTTTGGTCGAGTCGTACGTCCCCCCACCTTTTTTCAGGATGTTGATATGACACCCCTGGTTCCCTCCTCATCGATCGAGCGTGTGGAAGGTACATTGTAACCATGAAGCAGGAAAAATCGCAAAAACTCAGCTCGCCAGGATCCACGGAGGTGAGTGCACAGTCCGTTCTCAAGGCGAGATTATGGTGGCAATAACAGAAAGAGAAACGAAAGATTAAGCATATACTCTCCTCATCATTACGGACTGTCGGGGCGGGTCAGTGCGGCTGCGTTTTCCGCGGTTCCAAAGTCTTTCTGCACCAGTTGTTGAAGCGAGCAAATGACATGACAGCATTATATCCTTCGTATTACTCGTTTTCTACCACTTTTTGTCGCATACGCGTTTCAACGAAAAGGCTGAGAACGGCTTCAAACAGTGTGCGCACTCCTACTGGCTGATACGCCCCGACAGTCCGTAATGATGAGGAGAGTACAGCGAAATCTTCCGTAAAAAGAGCAATGAAGGCTTTAGGTTGGGTAGGATCCGCGGGCGAAAGGTCATGTTTTCTCAGGGGTGCACACAATCAAAGTAGTGATAAGAGTAACAACTGGAAACGTTGCGCTTGCTCACTATAAAAGGCCTTGTCGTGCAAAGCTATGAAGCCCTGTGAAGTCTCCTTGTAGGCTAACACATCTTTCTGAGTTAGAAAATCACTTCATGAGACTTGGTTTCCCCGTTCCGAAGCTCCTTCCCTTTTTTCAGTCCCAGAGAGTAAATGCCATTATTTGGTTCGCATTCACTTCTTTGCATCTTCGATGCCAAAAGCAATAAAAAAGAGAAAATTAATCAGCCGAAAACACGCAGTCTGGCATAGTTACAGAAATATACAGGGGGGGGGGACAAAAAAACACTTCGGCCGAGTCACATATCAGTAAAGTTTGCAGCCCAGACAGAAGACGTGGATACGAGTACCAGGGCGGAAGATACCCAAGATGTTCCTCGATAAGCAGGAGCAGGCTCTCGTCCATCACCTTCATGTACACCAAAATATGAAGCCATCTCCAATCGCAGCCGGACTGGAGAAGGCCTATGGAATTCACGTCACCTCCAAACAGCTGCGAAACTTCTTGCACCGAGTCACCCATGGACAGCTACCTACACTACTGATATGGAGGACGTCCAACATTGACAGCTACCGACAACGTCGCCACGGTCCAGGATATCATCTTCACCGCAGTCGCCAAGGCGCGAGTTGGTGGTATGGACCGGAAGTTCCTGGAATGGAAGACCGATATTTTCTTCGTGGACCCCGGACTGAAAGTGAAGTCGACGGTTACATCATCAACTTGATTAGAATATTCTACCTTCATGTCGTCTCCTGTGCCATCTGGAAAATCCGTACCGCTACAGGATTGGTGCCACCACATGAAATCGAAGGGCGTTGGAAAAACTCTCGCCTACTTGGACGATTGGCACTGAATACCCGAAAAAGATGGAATATCCAAGTGTGCCACCTGCCCTGAATCGTTTCGATTACCGGGTTCGGAGGAGCTCAACAGGGTGGTCTACAGTGGCGGAGAAATCAACGACCTCGCTGAACTCAGGCACCGAATCACGGTCGCGTGGCAGAATCTCTCGATGGCGCTCGTCCAGAAGGCTGTGGCGGAGTATCGTGATAGTGTACAATGTGTTGTTGAATATGATGGTGGAAATGTCCAATCAGAATTTAATAAAGTGTAACTTATATCGCCTTGAAGTCAAGGAAGAAAAGTGTCTTTTTTTGCCCCCCCCCCCACCCATGTAATGAATTCACCGGCATATTGGACTCGTGCCCAAAACGTAGTAAGTTCCTTCAGTATGAGTTGTTATTCCTCTCCAGCATTGGTACAGGCACGAAGCGTGAAAAATTAGGATTCTCTACAAATGAATTCGATTGCACAGAGTGCGGATAACAGGGCTTGAGGGGGTCATAGAAAAGTGAGAGCATTCAAAGGCCTGAAACGACACTTTTAGATTGTAAGTGGCGGGTCTCCTCAATCTCCAAAGAAGACGCCTGTACCAAGTTAGAGAGGCCGACACCTCTACAACTCATACTGAAATATCGCGTCGATAATGCGGAGGGTAATCGAAATTCGATCAAAGAATAATCGCATTTTTATAAGTTGGACTTACCAAAGGTGAACGTTTTTGATGAAAAATTAGATGTTTAATGAATACAGTAAAACTCATAAACTCGAAGGTGTCACTGTCAGACGAATTCAAACCGACCTTAGTTCCGTGAAAGTTGTCCACAATTGACTCATCACGACGAGCAGTTGGATAGACAGATGGAGAAATTTGAATTGACGACGGTGGCGGCGAATGTTTCATCTTGAGCCCAGCCGGCGGGTGATGAGTTTTTGTTAGCTTAAAACTTGGTGCTGCACGCTAATCGAGTGAAGTTGGAAGGAAAGTAATGAATGGAAACGTTCGACCTAGAACTCACGTTACGGTGAAGAATCGGCGAGCGTTGTAGGTGACATACTCAGCAAAAGTACCGGGAAGAAAAGGACGTTAATATGCAACATCGCTTTTACAGCTTCCGGTGTTTCTGAGGTAAAGAATCAAACGTTTAACAAGTATCCTGAGAACCCTCGTTAAACTGGTTTTCCTTGAAACTGGGCAGTTACGCGTCACACAGAGTTTCTAGGAGTAAGAAATGGGAAGAAAACACCGTGAACATGTAGACGTTGCTGGCTTTTGCCTGAGGAAATGAACGATGCCAAGAGTCGAATACCGTGGGGGAAAAAAGATTGCTATGTACGATTCTTAAATCGCACATGAAAACTTTGTCTGCTTAAACAAGTACGCCTTGAAATGCTATTCTAAAAATAAAGTTCGTTGGTTAAGTGTTACCATAATTTTGAAGATTATTGCGATGCGGCATGCCGCTGCCACTCTGATATTGGACCGGTTTTCAAAGTTTCTAATGCTTTGGGAACAACATAGGTTTCTCGAGAGTTGTAAAAAAAGAAATGGAAGAAGGGAGCGAACACTCAGAAGGTGTGATCTTCTTCTGATGGATCGCAACTTGGGCTTGTTCCAAGTTTTTTTTTTTCGCGACTGTAACTAGGAGACCTAATCTTGCCAACAATGTTACTTCTGAAGGAATGGGACAATTCTGGAAGTATTTTCAAAGACACCCGTCAATGCCTTCATTCGATCCGTTCCGGCGCCATCATTCGTTGCTTATGCTGTGTCGCCAAACTGACGCCAAATGCACGGCCGCCAAAAGTGATTGTCATACTTGTGATCAGGACCGTCTGTTACCAAGAGGTTTGAAATTTAGCGAAAATACTCCACTGCCCACTGGGATTCTAGTCGAGGCTAGTGCCAGCAGCCTTAAAGGCAGTGCTCGCGTTCAGTAGAGATTTTCCTCTCCCTTCGTGAGCAGGTAGCCAGGTTCGCAGAGGCAGCGATTACACCACTTTGCGGCGCAAAAACGAGTGAGGAGGCCACGATACCGTCGTTCCTCTCATTGGCCCAACCCCCTATCATTGGCACCGCCCACCGTTCATTTCTAATGGTTGCCTGATGGTGCGGTTGTTCTGCTACTCTCTCCATTTCGAATGGTGAGAGTGAGGTGATAAGGGAAACAGCTGATACCAACAAGCGAGAAGAGAGAAGCGAGCGACCATAGGAATCTTTTCGCCATATGCGCGTACAACCTCACATTGCATGGATGTTGTTATATGAGACATTTCCGGAGAGTTTTTTCTGCTTTTCTTCACTGCTGGGTCGTTTGGTACCTTGCTATTACTATTGGAGCCGCAAAACTCATCATCATATTTGAAGGGGTCTAGAAAGGGTGCACGGAGGTCAAGGAATAGGGACAAAGAACGCTGAGGGAGGACGAATCCTTGACCTAGCAACAGCCCACGACTTAGCAATCTGCAGCACCTTCTTCGCGAAAAGGAGGACCCAAAAGGTAACCTACAGCAGTGGAGGGAGACAAACGGAAATCGACCATGTCCTGGTCAGAAGATCGTCCTCAAAACCATCAAGGATATCAAGGTACTGCTGGAGCTGGGCCCTCAGCACAGGCCTCTCCTGGCAGACATCGCCATAGACCTCCCCAAGAAGACAAGGGTGAGAGCAGAGCGAAGAATTCGGTGGTGGAAAATGGGCAGGGTAGAAAAGGATAGCCTCGGCCGAAGAATACTGGAGGCTGGGCTCCCAGACCCACATGGGCCAGTCCAGGACACCTGGACCTACGCAGCAGAGGTCATCCTACAGTGTGCAAGGGAGGTCCTGGGAGAGACGCGAGGTGGTATCAGAGGAGACAAGGCAGCCTGGTTCTGGAACGAGGAAGTCCAGGGGATCGTCAAGCAGAAGAAGGAAGCATATAAACGCTGGCAAAAGACACGGAGCCCAGAAGACTACGCTGCCTACAAGAGCTGCAAGCGACTCGCTAAGGCGGCCGTTGCTAAGGCCAAGAATACGGAAATGGACGCCCTGTACGACAAGCTGGAAGGCCGAGAAGGGGAC